CGAGGAGTGAGAGGGGAAGGGTTGCCTGGTGTTTTGGTTGGATGTTAGGGATTATCTAGGCTTCATCTCTCTTCTCTTTCGCCTCTTGGCTGTCTTTGCTTACTCTGCATCTTCGAAAATCGGTACCACGAATATATATCGTTCTTCCGAATTTCGAAACTCCTGTTTCTGAGAAGATACTATTGTCTTCTTCCACTCCATAACATATCTAAAAATATCAAATACTGAAACAACCCTATAATCGATACCAACATCTTACATTACCAACCTTTTCACTTTCAGCTCCCAAGCGAATCCGCGACGTCATTGACATCATCATCACGTCTCATAATGTTTACTTCAATTACCTTCACCTTGCCATGTTCTATTTTAAAGACTATTCTATTTTCTCGGATCTATATCGCTACGCGGTTTCGTACTATTACTGCACAGGCTGGCGAACTGGCGGGCTGTCGATCTCGAAAATCTGACACTTAAGGAATACATGTACGTAGTACTCTGTATTATGGAATTGATTTCGAGTTCTTTTTGACTTGGATTGGAAGCGCTGAATTTGCTGCAGAAAAGTTTTCTGAATGAGTGGGTTGTTTGTTGAAGTATAAGCTTACTGGAATGTGTCAATCTATGGATTCTAGGGGCGAGGTTCCTCTTCGATTTTATGGTGAGGATTATCTGTTCGGCAAATCTCATTATAGGATCAGCTCGGCATAGAGTGTTTGTAGTTACTCCGTGGTTGGCATGAGTTTGTAACATGAACATCGATGCTTATTTGCATCTGAATATTTCGTATTCTCTTCTACAGACCGCTATCTCTTTTACCCAACACTCCTATCTCACTAAAATCCATGAATAGCCTAGGTATCTGTTCACCAAGATCCTCGCAAGCCAATGTCCAGCATGTAACAATGCCAAATATAATTACACATTTTTTAATCATTGTCACATACGACCATAGACTGAGGAGAATTGGGCATCCCGTCCGCTCTGCCATACACAAGCCTCAGATCGGTAGATTAGTAGTTGGGTGGGTGACCACCAGCGAATCCCTACTGTTGTATGTTTTTTTTTGTTTTTTGTTCTTCTGGACTGGTAGAAGCAGACTGGAAGAAACGTAGCTGGAGCGCCAGATCTCTTCAGTGATTTAAGGTTGATAAGGAATATACGAGGTGGAAAAATGAATTCAGTTGCAGTGAGCGGAATTGTGGATGTTCATGTTTTGGAAAATGGTGGTGCGTGGGATGGAGGGCGACGAAGAAGTAAGCGAGTCTTTCGGCGCTGCAGCCGAATAGTTGAGAACGTTTGAGATTTTTAAATGAGACAGCTATTATTCCATCGTGCCCTCGTGCTCAATATAAACATCCAGGATGTTTTCAAACCTATTTCGGGCAACCATGGCGGTATTGTTATGACACGGCAGAGAGAAGTCTTGTTCTAGAAAGTTCCTGCCGATATTATTTGCAAAACGTCTGAGTATCAAAGGGAGTGCCAAGGGCACTTTATAACTAGCTACCTTTAGCTCACCGGAACCGGATTATGTCAGTTTCTAATCAAGCAAACGTATCCAAAAACTCCAGAGCACTTCCCACTAGATGAAGACTTCCAGTAATCAACACTACCGCTTCATCACCCTCTTTCTCTATACAATCGCTATCGCCACAACCATGAGCTGCATATCGAATAGCCTCTTCAACAGTCCGTACAACGGTCAATGCGGATTCTCCTCCACTAATCTCACCCCAGCACGTCGCCGATTCATGTTGTATTTTAAGATCTTGAATTGAATCTCCTGAGTATGTCATAGAAACACGTTCAATATCTGGAGCTGCATTCCTCTCCCACAGCGTATTTGTACAAAAGATCGCTTGATGAAAAATGGGCTCCGCACAAGCGAAACGCGATTTCGATGACGTCATGACCTGCCAGAGATGATGGAGTAACGCCGTTGCATCCTTAGTTTGTTGATTAAATATAAGCACACGTCGAGCTTGTTTCTGTGCTGCCATGTTTTTGACTACCCAAGGCCCCAAAACTTCAATACTTTCTAGTGTATGAGCTCCATCAAGTAACCAACGAATTCCGCGATTGTGCCGCGTCTCACATCGCCCGGGCCATTGTGCTTTTTCCAGACCCCGACGAAACTTCTCGGGTAGTGGGGACTGCATGAAAGTCGTTGTGTCTGCAATACCACTAAATCCCATGCGAGAAAGATGCTTTGCGGCTACTGCTACGGCCAAAGTAGCATTTATTCGTTGGAAATCACCTTGAAGACCAAGCTCGATGGACTCAAGATCTGGATGTGTCGCAACGACATGTAGATCTGCACCTTCATGCACTGCTACAGCTTCCAACACAGCCATGGCTCCTGGATCTTGTGGCACCGTAAACACAGGAACTCCTTTTTTCATGATACCTCCCTTAGCCCATGCAATCTCCTCTAGCCTGGAACCAAGTAGATCGGTATGTTCTAGTCCCAAACTAGTTATAGCGCAGACACTGGGTTCGCGGAAGATATTGGTTGGGTCATGGCGTCCCCCAATACCAACTTCTACCACGGCTGTATCAACTTTCTCCTGCATAAATGTATGGAGACCCATCAGTGTGAGAAACTGTGTAAATGGTGGACTCTGAGAGGGTGCTCGGCTATCTAAATTCAACCGATTCCATATTTCTGAAAAATACTGCGCAAATCTATTTTCCTCAAGAGGAGTATCGTTGATAGCCGTCGACTGCGACTCTCGGATTCGAATACGCTCTCGCACACTACGCATATGCGGTGATGTATATAAGCCAATTTTTCTCAAGGAAGCTGGTCTTTTCTCCCCAGAATCACATCCATCGTCTAAATATTCGGATAATATCGAGAAGATGAAAGATGCCGTGGAACCCTTACCTTTAGATCCGGCAATGTGGATAGCGTTTAATTCATCGAAGTCAGCAGGCTAGTTGTGTATCCCATTGTTAGCTCTAGTTCCATTGAACGATAGTGCGGCAATGAGTAGTATCACCTGATATCCAATTTCTTCGCACCACTCTCCCATTTGCTCTAAAAGAAAGCTTAGATCTTGAACTCCAATTATCTGTTGTCGTAACTCGAAATTTGTGCGTAGACTGTTCAGACGATGGAGAGCATTCTAATTATTTGTCAGCGTTGACAATAGTCAAAAAGTTTGATCACAAACATGATAAAGCCGCCTTGATGATTGGAGCCCGTCGGTCTGGATAAGAGGATTAAATTGCGTCACGAGTGATAATGAAGCCATTTTTCTTGTGTTGTAGACTTGAGGCAGCGAATACGCCGTGTTTATTATTCTTATCTTGTAACACACAAGTTGGTAGCACAGCTGAGTACAAGCGTCGAAGATCTTGTTAGTGCTGCAGGTACGTATGTCAGGAATGTAACCATAGCTCGCCACACCCCAAGACATTTCGTGGTAGAATACTCGCAGAAGACATTTTTTCCACAAAAATTGTTGAAGGTGGATTAACCCTATGTATTATTAGAATTTCATGATACTATCTACAGACTATATGAACGAATGAAAGAGACTTACGTCGAGCTTAGCCGGATCCGCGGGTGTTATTTTATGGTGTTTTTGGTTTTGCATAATATAGCACGAATCATTAAACATGTCTAGTTTTGAGAAGGTTAGACTGTATTGACAGCTCTACATCGGAAATGTAAACGCGAGGTAAAATCGCATACGCGAAATCAAATATATATGATATTGGACTATCAAAAGCAGTAAGATTTAATGTTAACGACCCTCACTAAGGTAATCAATCAAACATAGTTGTTATTTCGATACAAATCGCATACTCGTGACGAAAATACAATATTGTACAGGTTTTTGAGCAACATTGTATCAAATTAGCTGAAATCTTGACATTAAACGTTGCGTCTAATCAAATTGGAAACATATCTCATATTCAGTAAGTCGCGATTTTGTGATGCAATGACTAATACCATCCGCCTGCTACTATAGTATGGCATTTCACTATTGTTAAAAGATGTTTTATTGGATAAACTCGCTGGTTTAACGGTAAAAAAAGCCCGAAGACTTGATCTTCAGCTCTCAATATGATGTTGAAAAGCGACATGACTCATGAGACCTCGAGAATCCAAGTACTCGGTGATGTTTCGCTGAGGGCATGGTAATATAAATCAAACAACCAAAATCTCCATAGGATGTTGAATCAATGATATAACTTTTGAATTCCCAGAAAGGAAGAAATCCAAAAAGGAGTATCAATCTGATTTAATATTTTGTAAGTATTAAAACTTTTGATAAGATTACTATCTAAGATTGATTGATATTGAAATTCGAACTAGTTTAGTTTAGCTCCAATTTGATGAGGATCTTGTCAAAATATCAGCCAATAAATATTACGAGTAGCTGATTCGTCTGTCAGATCCAGATCGGAAATCGAAAATTGCTTTACAAGCCATGAATGACGTGTCATGCGGGATTTTTGTTCAAATCGATTTCTTCACCTACAGTAATTCGATATCAGAGGTAGTTGTTCGAAATCTATAGTCTGAATATCGGATGAAAATACGATGGAAATAATCTCATGACTCGTCATTTCAGCTTTCAGCTTTCGAGAGGATCTAAAATGCAACTTAGAATGCAAGAGACCATAAGGAGCTGAACATCTCTTTTATCTTGACCTGCTAAAGTCTGTCTTTCCAGATTCATTCGTTCATCAAAACGCAATATTTGAATCAATCATCGCTGGTCACTTCGAGATGGACTACTCCCATCCCCTTTTGTTCCCTGCCACATTTTGTATTTGGGGCTCCCCATGAAAATCTCGGCTCAAAGAAGTTGACAATCGATACGCTCCGCCCAGATGACCGATCTTTGTCCTTAACAGAATATCATGATCTCTCTGTTCGTATCGCGGTGGGTTTAAGACGACTAGGGGTCCAACCCAGCGATAGAATTTTATGTCTTTCAGGTAATGCAATAGCATACGCGGCCCTTTTTATGGGAACCATTATGGCGGGCTGTATTTTTGTGCCTGGACAGCCTAGTTACGGGCATTCAGAATTGGAAAGGCTGCTCACAGTTGCAAAGCCCTCGGTAATTTTGACTCAACGGGCGCATTCAGATACCCTGTTGGAGGCTGAAGGTAAAGTTTCTTGCTCAGGCTTAGATCGGAAATCCACCTTTATTTTCGATGATGACATTCTTGATAACACTGGTAGATCATTCCTCGATGTACCTCACTGGCAGGAAATGGTAGGCTTTCTAGACGACAAGGGCTGGGAGTATTCCAATGTTAGATCATCGCTTGACTACAACAGTACCATTGTCATAATGTTCACCTCAGGCACAACTGGGCATCCAAAGGGTGTCGAGATTTCTCATCGCAATTATATCTCAGCTGCCGTGAGTTATATGCAACGAGTATCTCTCCATCCGTACTGGCAGCAGTCCATGAACAATGTTGGCAAGGGCATCAATCCAATTCGTGTTTTAGGCGCGCTCGGAATGCACCACATCCTTGGTCAAACATCCTATAGTGTTGTCCTCTCAAAGCTTGGAGTCCCGCTATATCTCCTGTGCCGACCAAGTGTGCAGAACATCGTGAACGCCGTGGAAACTTTCAAGATTTCTGACGCAATCATCAGGAGCTCCATGCTTACTGAAATTGCGAAAGGCCTTACTTGTAATCCTGTAGAAAAGCTACGTTCTCTGAGAAGAGTTGAGGCATCTGCGGCTCCAATGGAACAGTTAACCAAAACAATACTGGAGCAAATAGGCATCGGGAGAGTTACCCGAGTCTGGGAATTGACTGAGTACGAAAGTTCTTCCATCAAAGAAACTGAGAGTTCAGATGCTAATCAATGAATCGTCCTTTTCAGACTTGGATTGATCACCGTCTGAATCCGTTGGAGAACTCCACGCCAACTTTGAGGGTAAGGTAACTGATCCCAATGAGCCTAGCCGGATCGTGAACCGTAATAACATTGGTGATATTTGGATCCGTGCGCCTAGCCTTAGCAGAGGGTACTATCATAATCCAGAGGCTACTAGTGATGCTTATGGAGCTGATGGGTGGTTCTCTACAGGGGATGTCGGATATGTTGATGAACATAGAATGTGGTATATTGTGGATCGTAAAAAAGTAACATAATCCCAGCCAAAGCAGAATTACAGCGAGAATTGATATAGGAGATAGGATTTGATCAAAGTGAATGGAAACCATGTAGCACCAACTGAACTGGAAGCAGTGCTACTTCGTCATCTAAAAATTGTGGATGCTGGAATCATCGGCGTTGCTGTGTAAGCCGTTCATATCTTAACCCCTTGAGGTTTTATTTATTAATGACCGAACACAAATACCAAGATGAAGGACCGCTTGCATATATCGTAGCCGCCCCTGAATCGGCACTGTCTGCCACTGAAGTTAATCATCTCACGGTCGATAAGATTGCCCCATATAAGTATCTTTCTGGAGGCATCTCGTTCATTCCAATTATCCCGCGGAATTTTGTAATATTGCACAAGCCGTCTATCTAGGTACGACCAAAGTTGACACTGTGCAGAGCGGAAAAATCATGCGGAAACAATTGCGAGAACTGGCAAAGATGGAACTCGGTTGCTCCAAAGGGCACTACCATGGAATACACGTAGTGACCACTGGAATCGCCTCACTCTGATCTCTTACATAGATAATTTCAAGGGACAAGAGATATCATAGATTGTGTCTGCATGTTGACTCAAGAGTGCGTTGGTATTATGCTTTGAAGGGAAACATATTTAAATCAGAGTCGCGACTCGTTATCGCCCAGTATCAAGCCGCTAGAAGTTTTCTATTGGGCTTCAAGTCAGACCATTGGAAATCCTACCAAGTGCTCATAAAACACCATAAACATTTTCTAGTGCTCTCCAAACTTCATATGCATAATAGATCGCGGCAGATAAAATGATAAAAAGCGGTTGGGCATAGTAAGTCTGGATAGGCATCCTTAAGAAAAGCAGGTATGTGACTATAATTTGTAGAACCGCAACATATATTACACATAATTAGTGAAGATCATAGCTAAGATTGCTCCTCGGTAGGCAGTGGACATCATGTGCGAAGTTTGGACCCAAAGGCTTCAATATTAAGTATCTAAAATGGGAGTATCTAGACGTGTGGCACTGAGAGAATTATCAAGGCCAGAGGTCTCGCACCACCTATTCCGAGTGTCTTATTTTGTCTGAAACATTGAGAGAAGATAGGAGTAGATACTTAAAGCCCAATCTCTGATTTAGATTCTACAGTAATAACCCTTCCGGTAAAAATACTGTTTGTGTTTTAGTATAGACTAGTTCAGGTCAATTTATCTTTCGAATAATCCTATTCTAGTCCTAATATGAATGATAATATTCTAACATTAAATTTGAATTCATGAAAAGCTTTAGGCCTCACTCTTTTTCTGAAAAACTCAGTATTTGGAAATTTCAATTTTCATTTTAATAAAAAAACAAAACTAGAATAGCAACGTTGTATCAAAAAGTAAAGACTAGAACATCAAAAATGCTACTTTTTTTAGGTTTAAACAGCTGATTCGAGTGCTAGGCGAGGTATAATACATGGAATACTTTCTTCGAACTTGTTTGTCTCAGCATGAAAGAGGAATAGGAACTACCAATAAACAAACACAACAGCTTACAACCAACAAAGTTTCTACTACCAGATACACAATGCAGGACTAATATAAACAAAAAGGATTTGAACCGTTGAAGGAATAGGATGGGATCAAATATCGAGCCTCATTCGCACGACGTTGAGTTGCATTTGACAAATACTGACTGACTGATGCTTAACAACTAGCAGGCACTCGGCCCGGGTTCACCTTCCAACACGATATTAATGATTATACATGCAACCTGCTATTGAGATACTGCAGATGAAAACACTCAATTTCATGTCTTGAAAGCGAAACGCGGTATCATTAAACTCATCAAATGAAGGTTCGGATTCGGAAGGAACGAAGATCAACCTTGACGATACCCCGCATCTATCTCACCTAAAGACATTGCGGGAGATACCAAATCGGATGGAATAAATAAAGCTCGATATAACAATACTTCCTCACCGTACCATGTTACTCTGAGCAACCTGAGAGTAGGGGAGCCATTCGAAGGAGAAAAATCAGACCGGAACTCACCATTGACGCAATCCTTCAACAATCCAATTGTTCCATTTCAATTCAAAGAATCAAAACTTTAACTAGTATCGTAACTGAAGGCCATCCGAGGGTATGTTTAGTGCCATTAACTCTCATAAATCTATAAATGGTTGATTTATTATAGAGTTTATTGGGGTGATCAATTTCGGCCTCTTTTTGCACCCACGGCTATAAAAATATCCACACACGTGCACCGGAACGGAAAAACCCAATCCCTCGCGAAAAGATTTCACCCCTAACCGAGAAAAAATATCAAAAGCCTCAATTCCCCTCCTTCAAAAATGCTTCAAAAATTAATCCCAAACGAATTTATCATTTGAATTGTGTGGACTAGCGGCGAATCGAACGCCGGACCTCTCCCATGCTAAGGGAACATTATACCACTAAACCACAAGCCCGTTTTAGATGTTAGGAGAGTAGTTAAAGAGTAATATAATGGGAGAGATGTGAAGTGGAACAAAGGAGGTGGATGAAGTGGATCGATGTGGATGTGCTCCGGAGCTAGACGAGAAGACCCATCTAGCGCAAGGGGTTCGGATGGGTACCTAGGTATACTCTTTGTCTGTGGAAGGTTGGCTTGTTTTATGTTATATACATGGTCTGTGACTGGAATTTTTGATGCTGTCATAAATCTATTCCAGCGTTTCCAGTAGTCCGGACTGCAGTCTCTTGTAAGATTCCAGTCTTGAGACTCCAAAGATATCATCATCGATTTCATAAATCAATTGTCTCAAATCAATTTGGCAATTAAAACTTATTAGATATTTGAGATAGATTCAGTATTTAGAAGGGATCGAATACTCCAAAGTTCTTGATTGTCGGACCGCAGTCCGGACTCTTGAATACTCTGATCTATCCATCGGCCGTAGATAAGTCTGTCCGTATATACACACAGCTCTTGTCGATAGTGTATAGAGGCTTTATGTTAGTTCTAAGAGGAAACTAGCAGGGATTCTTGACAAAGACTTTTCAACGGTTGAGAACTTTGTCTATTACACACACGAAGGGAGAGCCTTTGTCTGAATTTGCGAGGTATAAGAACCTATGATTATAAAACCATACACTTCTCAAACTTCCATCAATTATTATTATGACCAGCCTTGACTATCATTAGAGGCAACACAGCTCGCTTGAATCAATTTTCATCCGGCATACTAGATACTATCTGAAGAAACTTTACATTCAAATTAAGCGTTGGCATGAAATGAAGACTCAATGAAGTGAGTGAAGAGTAGAGAAAATCAACTATAAAATTGTAAAACTAAGGTATAAATAGAAACGCTACTTCGAAAAGCCCATAAAAAGGCGTGTAAAAAGACCCCGCTCACATATTTGCAAATTCCTAGATGATAATATGCACTCCTTCCTCAATCTCAATCATCATATTTCATACTAGCCTTTTAAGCTTTGTACAGAGTATCCAAAAATCCACTCGCTAATTCGACCACCACACTCTTGTTTGGCAAACTACCTGCAACTCCATAGAGGGCTGCTGAATCTCCCAAGCTCTTTCCCTTTGCACCTTTACCTTCAACGATTCTGACTCTCTCCTTCTCCTTCTCCCCTTCTATAACAGCTATCAAATCTTCGACCAATTTCTCCCAGACCTTTACAATCGGTAAGGTTACAGCTACGTGTATAGCCGGTGGGTTCTGTAACGAATTGAGATGCCATCCCTTTCCTGACATAGCATCGGCAATATCATAGATATCGAGTGTCTTGGACGTGAAAGCTACAACAGAAACAAGTGGTTTACCAAGTACGTGAAGATCGGCGTTAAGAGATGGGTTTTCGCTTATGGCATCGATGATCTTCTTGGTAGCTCCAACAATCTCGTTACAAGAATTGATATAGCCAGTTTCTCCAACACTCATAAGTGAAGCCCAACATCCAGCAATGAGAGCACCTGGACGAGATCCGGCGATCGATGGAGAAGCATATACACCACCTGACCAGTCAGGAGAGATGAAGTATTGGTAAGTTCTCAAGGCTGCGGTGCGGTAAAGAACCGTCGAATTACCTTTAGGCGCAAAGCCGTATTTGTGAGTATCGCAACTTATACTAGTAACACCCTTAAGACGGAAATCAAAGAGTTCGGTTTCGAATCCGGCCTTCTCGAGGAAGGGGACGAGGAATGATCCAAGACAGCAATCGACGTGAAGTGGGATCTTACGTTTGACGGCGAGTTTGGAAAGCCCAGTGATGTCGTCAATGAGTCCATGAGGGAAGTTGGGCGCGGAGCCAACAAGAAGGACGGTGTTGCTATTGATAAGGCGAGATACACTTGGGAGATGGACTTGGTAAGATGGAGCGGGACAAGCGACGAGATGAATTTTGATACCGAAATATTGACCTGCTTTGCGGAATGCTGTGTGTGCTGTTTCTGGTAGAATCCTAAATACTGGTCAGTATAAAAGTGTGAGGGGAGTATCCACAGATCTACTGACATTTCCGGTTCCTTTACACCTCTCTCGGCATAAGCCTTCTGTCTTGCACTTAAGCAAGCCATCAAAATAGACTCTGTACCTCCACTAGTTGTAACTCCGGCAGCTCCTGGAGGAGCATTAAACATCGACAAAACCATCGCTACGATTTCCGCCTCCATCTTTCTCACTCCTGGGAACACATCCGGGTGAATAGGATTCGCGACTGTAAACTTTCCAAATGCCTCCGTCTGTAGCTTCATCAACGAATCTCCTCCATGATACACAGCACCCGAGACAAATCCATCCTCCCATCTAGTATGATCCATATTGGCCAACGTCTCCAACTCCTTCATAACCGTTTCTTCAGACCATCCTTCCTTCGGCAGCGTCAAATATCGCACCACGCCTGGACCTGTCGGTACCAGCTTGCCTTGTAATTTCGTAATTGCCTCTGAGACCTGTTTTTGTACTTGAGATCGTACACCGGGTGCTCGTAGGAATAATCCATAGAGTGTTCTGCGGATTGAGATATATGCGTCTGCGAAACTACCGAAAAGCCCCCTTCCCTTCAATTTCAAAAGACCCTTCCTGGTCCATCTCAGTAAGAACAAAAAGAATACGATATTTCGAAGTCTGCATTGCCAGAAGTATATATCAGCGAAATTTATTCCATCAGGCACAAGAAGCAAGCATATTGCATAGCTTATCGCGGATACGGTGGGTCCAGAAGCATAGAATAAGTACATACAGATCAATGTTCAAAGCCAGTAATTGGCTACTACTCGATGAACCCTTTTTGACGGTGAAGCTATTGCGCAAGCTCACGGGCATTCTCGAACTGCCGGGCATCTTAGGAGACGGATGGTCGGTGAGTGATGAGAAGGAAAATAGAAGTTGGGGTGGGAGAGTAAGATAAAAGGCAAAAGGCCAAAAGTCGTCGTCTACATCGGAGGTTTCATTTTCCTTGATTCAATTGATGGAGATGCCGAGGATGTTACTTACTCATCACATGCTTGCTTCTTTATGCTCCATTTCAGGTCTGCCCTTGTAAGCTTA